GAGCGGCCTGCGCGGGCCACAGTAACTCCCATCCCGCCGCGCGACGGGCCACACTAACACCCAACGGGCCACACTAACACCCAACGGGCCTCAGTAACAACCGGTCGCGTCCCACCCCTCCCCCCCTTGGTGTCATCCAGCGGCGCGCCCCCGTTATTTAGCGTTCCATATGGCAGCAGCTTGACTGTAGGTGGAGTGTGCCCAGAAGGGACCAGGCCCTGGCGTGCGCGCCCCTCGCCCCGAGGCGGCGTGGGCGGCCACGGGCTCTCCTCCCCAGTGCTGATCCAGTGTCGCCGTCGTTGTCGTCGTCGTCGTCGTCGTTGTATCCTCCTGCTCCTCCTCCTCCCCTCTCCATTTTCCTCCCTACTCCTCCTTCTCCCTCCTCCTCCCCTGCCACCCCACTCCGTCCCTCCCTCTCGTCCTCCCTCCTTCCTCCCCCTCCCTCCTCTCTCCTCTCCTCCCCCCCGTTCGTCTCTCCTCTCTCCACCCTTGTTCTTCGCATCTTCCCATGTCGTCGGGCCGCACCTTCCGCCCTCAGGCCTTACCTCAGGCAGCCATGTACCGGCGGCATGCCCTCCTGATTGCAGTCAGAGCCTACTTGCGACGTGTGACGACCGCGTGGTCACCGGGAGGGCGCCTCGGATCATGACCCGCACTCTCTCCTCCGAGGTCGTATGGCCGAGGTCCAGCGGCCAGCTCCGCCGTCCCTGAGAAGTGAGCAGCCTGGGCACAAGAGGCGGAAGGGAAACGGGGGCAAACATGTGTTTGGACAGAGATTGCGCACCCCCGCCCACGCCTCGCCCCCCTGTCCGCCCTGTGAGGCTGGGCTATGGAGCTTCGAAGCCCGATTGTGATGCTGCTTCGCACATTCATCACAAAAAGTATACCCACCCCTTTCACCCACTCTGGGGAGGGGCGCCCAGGGGGGGGCGGGGAAGCTCTCTCGGCCCCCTGAGCAGTGGCGGCTTTCAGGTAAAAGGTAGGAACACATATGGTCTTCTGTCCAATCCATTCCGCCGCTGGGCCTGTGTCATGTTCCAGAGGCCCCGGGGGCATTTCGGGAGGATCTCGTGGGGGCTTATGTTGGGGGCTGCTTGGGGCGTCGGTGGGCCACTTGGGTGTGTCTTGGAGCCTCTCGAGGCCGCTTGTGGGCCTCTGGTGGACCTTGGGATCAGATTCGGGGGAGTGGCCTTCAACGATGCGACAGTGGCGTGCTTTTTGGCCCGGGCCGTCTTGGAGGCCTCTTGGGTCCTCCTTGGGGGCTTCGTTGGCCATCCTGGTCTGGTCTCGGGGATGTGTGGGTCGTCTTGGACGCTCTTGCGACCGATGCGGCGACAATGGTACGATTGAATACTAATCTAAGGGATTCAGTTTTTTGGCCTCCTTCGGCCCTCCAAGACGGCCCGCGAGACTCCCAAGAGTGCCGAAGTTGACCCCGAGAAGGCTCTGGCGAGCAAGTGTGGCCCAAAGATCGCCAAACCGTCCCCAAGATCGCCCGAGTCACCCCCGGAAGGGGGGCCCCACGGCGGGGGAAGGATCAAAGGGAAGGGCTCCTTCCTCTACTCGATTACGGCCTGGGTCGATCCAGCGTGGGCTGGGGAGTCTGGAGAGCCCCAGGTGGCCCCAGGGAAAGGCGGCAGAGCTTCGACTAGAAAATCTGTTCGCAGGACCCCCCTGAACGACCACCCCAGGAACCCCCCATGCAACGGGTTTGTTTCGTGACGTGAGCCCCCCAGGAGATCTCGCCGGCGTTTCACCGCGCGAGTCGTCACTTGAGAGCCCTGGGGCTAGGAAGCATACTCCAGATGCAGAAAGCGTGGAAAAAGTGGCCGTCACGAGTTTTCTTTGCGACGCCTGGATATGAGGGTCCTCCTCGAAAATCGGCCCCCACAGACCCGTTGCGCAGGGTGTTCTGTTTAGAGCTTCGAGGCGAATCCGGCCGTGCCGACGAGAATACCCCAGGAGGTCCCCAGAGGGGCGACAGTCGCTTAAAACCTCGATCCTCGCAGTCCGATCCTCGAAGCTCGATCCTCGATTGCCCAGGGGCCACCCTCCCAGCGGCGGCAGCTGGCAACCCGGATCCCCGACGTCATGCTTTTTTCCAGAACGTTGACCCCCATAGGTCTCGACCCATTCCCTGAGACCTGTTTCTCATCCATCGCAGTTCCCAGCCTACCGACCGAAGGGCCGAGTCGTTTCCTGACAGTCCCGAGGCCGGGTAAGGGCCCCCAGGGGCCGAAAATGGCGCACAATTTGTCATGCCTTAGCTGCCCTGGTACGCTCGCGCTGGAACGCAACACGTACCGTGTTCAAAACGTCCGTGTCAGCACGCTGCGTGTTGGCTCGGCACATGTTGGGCCACGTTTTGGCGAACGTTTCTCGCCAAACGTACGTTTTCAATCTCCGTGTTGAGCTCCGTGTCAACACGCGAAAGGTTGTGTGTTGCCTATCGGGGCAGCTGGGCTTTCGTGTTTTTCCAGGGCCCGAGGGGTCTGGGGAGGTGCTGGCCCTCGTCGGCGGCGAGCAGAGCGATTGCGGCGACGACTGCGGGGGGTACCTGCAGCTCCACGACGCGGCTACGCTGCGGCGCGCGTGCGAGCGGGCCGCCGAGGACCGCCTGCCGCCCCCCTGGGGGCTCCCCTGTCGGGGGCCTGCGCGGCGGGCGCCGAGAGCCGTGCGCACTCGGTCAGCGCCACGGGGTGGAGGCCCGTCTCCCCATCCCACCATCGTAGGGGGATGCGAAGTCCCTGAAGACGGGGCGCGTTGGCGCCAACCCTGTCGATTGGCGTACCAACACGCGTCGACTGGCGACATCGCGAGCTTGGTGTCGACTGGCGCTGAGGATCATCGACTGGCGCTACCGCATCATGGCCTCATCATTGCCGGCTCGGAGGAGGACGAGGAGGGGGAGGAGAAGGGCGAGCAGAACGGCCAGAGGCCTCTTGGATACCTTTTGGAGTCGTTTCGGATGCCTCTCGAGGGCTTCTGGGGGTTCTCTTGGGGCGTCTATGGGGACCTCTTGGCGGCGGTCCTGGGAGCATTTTGGAGGGTCCTGGGTGCCTCGGGGGGACATCTTGAGGCCTCTTGGAGGTTCTCTTGGGAGTATTGGGGACCTCTTGCGGGCCTCTAATGGGCGCCACTTTGGACCCTCTTGGGACACTCTTGGGAGCCATGGGGGCTATCTCGGGGCCATCTTGGAGGAGTTCGATGAAGGAGGGGCGGGGCTCCAAGCAGGGTCCCCCCCCAAGGAGGCCAACATGGGTCAAACACCGTAGGAACAAAAAAACACTGATGTGTGTCTTCTGGCTGAGGCCGTCTTGGACGCTCCAACGACTCGTCCAGGTCCAGGGGGAGGGGGGAGGGTGAGGTGCAAACCCCTCCCCGAAGGGGAGAATGGGGGTTTGCAAGAGGATTACCCGAAACCAGCCACGCCCTGAAGGGCTGGTGGGATTCTAAAAGGGCGGTTCTTCTGCCCTCTGTGTCGGGCCGTGGGGCGGGGCGGGCGGCGAGAGGGGCACAAGACCTGGATTGTCCAGAGCGGGCGCGGGGCCCGCAGGCCTGCAAGCAGAGCGAGTCGGGGGCCTCGGCCGCTGTGGCCGATGTGGGCTGCTCCGAGCGGAGTCCTCGTCCAGGCTCGAGCTGGCCCCAGCCATCGGTCAAGTGCTGGGGTCGGGGTAGAGGCTGCATCCCGACGGGCAGCGGGGAGGCTGAGGGGCAACGTCAAGGTGAAGTAGGCGCAGGGTGGGATGCGTCGGCCCCCAATCCCTCATTCATCGCCGATCGGGGCCTGATATCGCACCCCGCTCAGCAACGTGCGGCTTGGCTGTCGGGGGCTTAGCGCAGATCTATCGGCGGTGTATCGTCGATGTTTCCCCCCTTGAGCCGGTCCCCCCCGCGTCGTTCCCTCTTCGCTCTGAAGAGGGGGGTCATGATGGAAGGGGCTCGTGCTGGACACTGCTTGGAAGGAGCGCTCACATTTCCAGTTCGTCTAGTCAGGGGAGCAGCGCGGGGGATTCTGACCAAGGCTGGTACATGCGCATTCTTGCTTCACGCGAAACTCCAGCCCAAGAGCTATAGCGGTTCCCACGGGAACCTCTCATCGATCCACAGCTATCGGCAGCAGGCCCTTCGGATTTTAGTCCCTCCTTCTGCTGCGCCTGCTCCTCATCCTGCTGCCCCTGCTCCCTCCTGCCTCCTCCCTTTTTTTCCCGCCCTCCCTCCTTTGAGGCGGCTGGGGGGTCTGAGCTGGATGAGCCCTGAGAAAATATATCAAAAAAGGGAGCGATTGGCAAATCCATGCAAAATCTGGGGTCTGTCTGGTGCAGTTTTTCACCCCGGATCTGTTTTTGCTTGTCCCGGGGCTCGAAACAGCCCCTGGAGGCCGAAAGAGGCAAACCAGTTTTCTCGATCCCAGAATTTCGAACCTGCTCCCTCCCCCCCCCGCCTTTCCTGCTGGCTGAAGCCGGTGCTGGGCTATACCTCAGACCCTCAGCCGGCTCCAACTCTCCCCCTCCCGCTGCGCTGTCTGGATGCACATTGTCAGCCATGCTCGGGCACTTGGAGCGTGTTTCTCTATTGCTTGGGCCATAACGCGCGTTGTGGCTTCCCCGCTCTCCCCCTATAGCGTAACGCTCCCGCCCCCAGCACGCCCCCGGCACTGCCGCCGTGCGCATAGGGATCCGCATAGGATCCTTGTGCGCACGGCGGCAGTGCCAGGGGCGCATAGGGGCACGACGACGACGAGGATGGAAAAGGGAGGTAATGAGCATACCTCCTTTGCACCACGTGGAGGCAACGAACTCCTCGTCGCTCTTCGTTGTCGGTCGTCGTCGTCGCTCGTCGTCGTTGTCGTCGTCGCTTGTCGTCGTCGTCGTCGTCGCTCGTCGTCGCTCGTCGTCGCTCTTCGGTGTCGGTCTCGGTCGTCGTCGTCGTACGTCGTCGTCGCCGTCGTCGCTTGTCGTCGTCGTCGTCGCTCTTCGTTGTCGGTCGTCGTCGTCGTTGTCGTCGTCGTCATCTCCGTCGTCGTCGTCGTCGTTGTCGTCGGTCGTCATCGCTCGCGGTCTCTCGTCGTTGTCACACGCCTTCGGATGCTTTCGAGGGCCTCTGAGGCCTTCGCATGACCTCCGGAAGGCCTCTGGAGGCTTCCAGAGGCCTCAGGAAGCCTCTAAAGGCCTCGGGAAATTTCCCGAGACCACTGGAGGCGTCGCTCGTGATCGTCGCCGTCGCCGTCGCCGTCGTCGTCGTCGTCGTCGTCGCTCGTCGTCGTCGTCGTCGTCGTCGTCGTCGGTCGTCGTCGTCGCTCGTCGTCGTATTCGTCGTCGTTCTCGTGGTCGTCGTGGTCGTCGTCGTCATCGTAGTCCCTTGTCGTCGTCGTCGTCGTTGTCGCTCGTCGTCGTCGTCGTCGTCGTCGTCGTCGTCGCTCGTCGCTTGTCGCTGTCGTGCGTGCGGACGCTGTGGTGGCGCCAGAATCGCACGGCGGCGGGGGGGCGTTACGTTAACTATACCCTCCCGCCCCCCATAAAGCCCGTTTCGCCGCGAATAAAAAAACGCGCTATTGTGTGAATCGTTTTTTGTGTGCGATTTGCTACTAGGTGTGTTGTTTGCTGTGCGTCTGCCCCCTCTCCCTTCCCCCAGTCCGGGCGGCGGGGCCCCAGAGCGAGTGCGACTGCGAGTGCGAGTGCGAGCGAGTGCGAGCTGTTTCGCAATGCCAGCTGATGTGTGAGCTGGGGGGCGCTTGTCGACGGCCTCGTTGCTTGCTGGGTTAGAACATGTATCGGCGGTGGGGCCCCAGTGCGCCGAGGGGGTAATGGCTGGGGGGGCTCTGGCCGTGGGCAGTCATACGGTCGGGGCGGCTGCCTGGGGAGCTCGACACCATCGGGGCAGGAGTCACTCGTGCGGGGCCCGCCGCCATGTGGCGGGGCTGGTGGCGGGCGGCCCGTGGATGTCCAGAGGTGTTTGCCCATTTGGGGCGATCGAAGCTGGTACAGAGACTCATCGAGAATAAAAGAAACCCGAACCCTAATGACACAATGAAGCCGCAGCCTAACTCAGGTCCCCGTGCTTGCAGTAGGGATAAGATTTCTGGGTGGTACGGTCTGATGCATCTGCAGAAAGGATCCCCCATCCCTAATGTTCTGGGTCTCTTAACTCAGGACCGCTCCCAAAGGGTTAGGGGTACTTTATTGCTTATCAAAGACCGGCCGAATTTCCTATTCATTTTGACCAGGACTCGACGCCGGTGTCGCCGCGGACGTTATCCCTTTGAGACAGGAGGCCGCCTGCCCCAACAGCGGCCGCTCTCGGTTTTTGCTCAGGGAAGGCGGCGACGCAATGCTAGATGCGATCGCAGAGATGGTCTCCAACCTGTTGAACGGTGACGCTAAATCTCCAGAGTCTTGGCGTACGTCAAAGATCGTTGTCCTTGTCAAAAGGGCGGCGCGACCCTTCCCAAGAATTACAGGCCTATCTCGATCATCCCAGTTATGAGTAAGCTCTACAGTAGTGTCGTGCTTGGCCGCATCGGTGCTCTACTGGAAGCCGCCAAGACTCCAGAAGAGATGGGCTTCTGGGAAGGATTTTGCTGTGGCGATCTAATACATTGTTTACGCATGGTAAGCGAATCGGGCACCGAGTGGGGAGAGTTAGTATGGGTGGCGCTCATTGATTTGGAAAAGGCGTTTGATAACGCTGAAGGAGGAAAGGCAAAGGCGAGAGGCATCTAGCTTTTGTCCGCGGCCGTTTGGGTTCAAGCGACCGGTCGCCTATTTGACTGTGCCGCTCTGCGGCGCGTTATCCGACATCGATACGGGAAACAATCACTTGAGATGTCATCTTTCCGCTCACGCGGCCATCTCTTACCTCTTGCTCTATCGTTACTACGATACAACAGGGCTGGACGGATACTACGCCTGAAGCGTAGTATTTGGTTGGGCCGACCACGTCAGTTTAAACTTGGTAGCAGAGCTGGCCGATGGTGGCCAGCTCTAGCTCTATTCCTTGCGATCCACGGCGTTATTTGGTGGACTATTGATCTGGTGGACCATCAGGGCGCAGTGGCTCTACGCGGAGGAGACCATGGCCATCGCAAGGACACTTGCAGTGAAGCCATTTCTAACGCAGAGGTTTCCTACTTGAGCCCTACATATCTGCGCTACTACATTTCTGAAGTCCACCCACCAACGCCAGTGGGCAATGTTCTTCTATATTATGCATGACAACATGCGTTATGACATTGTGCCGCCTGCACTTCCTCGCAACTTGACGGTCACGCCACCTCACAAACAACAACCATCACAACCGACACCGACCTACGAGGCCACTGGATTGGCATCGCTATTTTTGGATTTTTCTGGGTCGCCATCGGATGTGCTGTTGGACACATGCAACGCGGTGCATTCGACGCGCGCGACCGGCCCCCATTGGGGCCTTGCCCGTAACATACCATTCCGCGAATTCGTTCGCGAGGTACGTGCCAGGATCAACGTGACCACAGGCACCAATGTTCCCTCCCAACAGGCCGCTGCTCTACAGCGTGGCCGTGGAGGTCTCGCGGGAACCATCGCCATGAGAGTCCCCCCAGCAGTGATCAATTTTGCAGTGAACATTGGTGGG